GATTTACAAAAATATGATTAGTTACTAGAGTAGTAATGAAATCATAGTAATTCATATTCAAGTTCTGAACTTAAGTTACTACAACACTACGGTGTAGTAATGAATAGTCATATTTATGTAAATAAATTTTATTTTAGTAATATTGTTGTAAAAACCCCTATTATTATCCCAAATTTGAATAGTATCTTTGAGATTATGGTAGATACTTCGGTTAAATACCTTGATTTTCTGAATATTACGTGGTATGATTTATATCCCGTGAGGATGTGCACACGTAATGTAGAGTTTTCTTCCATTTGAATTGAGATTCTTTTGTATCGTTAAACAAAAGTCTATTACTCCCTCCGGTTCTTTTTAAACTTCACACTTTCCTTTTTGGGACGGTCCAAAATAAACTTCACACTTCCTTATTTCCTTATTTGGCAAAGAAATCTACATCAAAGCAGTGTTAAACAATGTCAAACAGTGTCTCAACAGTGCCAAACAGTGTCTCAACAGTGCCAAACAATATCAAACAGTGTCTCAACAGTGTACTCTACAGTAAAGTCAAATTTATTTCCTTAATCAATGTGAAGTCAAACTGTGAAGTTTAAAAAGATCCGTATTCATTAAGGCTTAATAAATTAAGACCATGTCCCAATAGTAAATTGGAGTGATCTCTTTCTTGAATTATAAGGCACTTTTTGGAAAAACCTTAATTGAAAAATCGTTGCCTAAAAATATTTGTGTTCGTGTATTCATTAGGAATTGCGCTTCAACTTATAAATGCTAATTTGTGATGTATATCTTTCAGCGTAAAAATAAAGTGTTAATCAATTAAGTTTGATTTTTGTCTTCCAAAAAAAAAAATTAAGTTTGACTTTTGTAACTTCTTTTTCCTCTACACAAACCTCTATCACACATTTTTTTATTTCACTTGCCGGTCAAATTTATCGAAAATTTAAAGGACGAAGGTAGTATTTCACACATGGCTGGAAACTATTGGATGGAAAATCTATTTTAAAATTGATTAAAATTTATGGGGTGTATTGCTATGTTTTAAAATCCGACCCGGACAAACTCGCAAGCCGCGCATCCATAGAGAAATGTGGGCCGATCTTTAACCAACGTGAAAAGAACTTTTGGACTCCGGAAATAAACTGATAACCCGTTATAATCCATGTCAGGTCCAAACCCATAAATAACCACTAAACCTAGTAAAATTGTAAAACCAAAAAATCATGAGCGGAGTCAGTATCTAGTTTCAATTTATAAAAAATAATCTATAATCTATGTTATAAATATAATTTTTATTTTACAGTGGTGTTCATTTAAATTTTTAAAAAAATTATATACCAATTAATGGGAGATTCAGTGGTGTGAATTGACACCACACCGGTGGCTCTGCCCCTTGCAAAAATGTCCTAAATAAATGTTCAAACTTCAAACTAAAATTCGTCTTATGGGATAGGAATCAATCCCAAGTCTACCTCCGTCATGCACTCCAAACCACAGGCCCACAACATCACTATGTTAAACTTAATTTACCTATAGATCTATTATAATTTATAGCAATTATTTTTACCTTTATATAACTAGCAAAATAAAATGTTATCACAATAAATTATTTAAGAGAAACTCCGTACTAAATATAACAATGCATGTTATGTATCGTTTTACTTCCCTTAAATTTATAAAGGTAGATTCTATGGTACCCATAAGATACCATACCTTTGTCCACATGGACCAATGAGAATGTAACAGTTGAATTATTTAAATCTAAATTAAAAATGATTAAGTGATGTGGTCCAATCAAATGAATGGTAGGTACGGTACCCCATATTTTAGAAAGGTACCGGAGTTGTCACCATTTATAAACATCCCAAATATTAGTGAACCATACTTATATACCTAGTAATATTTTTAAGATTTTATTACAAGTGTAGTTTTGTTTATATTTATTCATGGTGAAATGTATGCATGTGATATATATTTAAATATTTGTTTTAGAAAGAAAATTATTCCAAAATTATTTTAGAAGTTCACAAAACAAATACGGAGTATCAAATAACACTATCGACTTAAATAGGATTAATTTTTATTTTAATTAAATATTATTATACGTTAAGTACTTTAGTACTATATAATTTTATAAATGTTGACAGAGTTTTTCATACATTGGCCGGTTGGCCCACTTCGTCCGAATTAATCCATTCACTCGACTAGGTCGATCAACTGTCTTGTTTTAATCATATATGTCTATTGGTGTGTATTCCTCTTGTCTATTGGTCTCATTTAATTACCCTAGGTATCACTAAAATTCAATGAGTTTTCCAATCTATGACCTAACTAGTTTTTTTCCCAAAATAATATTAGTATTCATAATAATTAATTAAAATTCGTTTTTAATAAATAATAAATATTTTTTATGGACAAATATACCCTTTTGCTTATATCTATAAAATCCTAACTTCCTACCCATTTTTTCAAACCCTAGCCACAACCTCCCAATGCCCATCCGTGCAGCAGCCCTGCCATCCATCCGTGCAGCAGCCCTGTAGTCTAGCCACCGCCGCCTACCATCTAGCCGTCGTCCACCGCCCACCCTTTAGCGAACGACCATTATTCATGTAGATCCACGGCCTCATGGTCGTGAACTACGAACAGGATGCCATTGACGGCCAAGAGGTGTGGCTAGTGTGAGGAGATGCCTGACATCAACCAAACCATGATCGCAATCAGGGATTGATGAAGAGACGATTGGACAAACTGTGCCTTTGCCGCCCTGGGAGATTCGAGAATCAATTGAGTCTCAGACTGAATTCCGAGTTCTAAGTCGCCGCTTGCGCCTTGTGGTATTCGAGGTTTAATTGACCAACGAAGTGGAGACTGGACTACAATAGCGATTATTGGATTTGGAGGTCGAGTATTTTCCCTGGGATTCTTCAAATTAACAATACTTCTGATTTTGGTGGGGATTGACCAATCGATCTAGAACTCAAACGCAGCCCAGCCGTTTTGCCTCATTTTTCATTTTGTAATTTTTGAGTTATAAACGAAATTTCTTTTTTTTTTTATTTTCTTTTTTTTGGATTTTCAGTCAAGCAATACAGGTTTGTACCAATTTGTTGAATGCCTTGAATGTCGAGAGCAGAATCTGGATTCAGTATTGCTTTGGCAATCAATTCTCTTTTTTGCTTTTCTATTTTAAAAGTTAGAGTTTCTGAAATTAGGGTTTGTGGGCATTAAATATGGGCATTGAACACCATCACTGAACATTTAAATAAGTGTGGAGTATTGACAGTGAATATATATGGTAATAAACATGTTGTACATGGCAGTGAACGAATGCATTAAGAAATTTTGTTGTGCAATGATTATGACCAGTACTGCAGTAACACAAAGCAGTGATATCATCATGAAATACAATATACTTAATTAAACGTAAAATAATAAAATTATTAATTTTTTTTAAAAAAAATCATAATTGAATAAGAAGATAATTAATTTTAGGGAAAGTGCAGTGATTATTACCGGATGTGCAGTAAAGTCATGCATTAATTTTGTGCATTAACGGCAATATAAAGTGCAGTAATTTTTACCGGATGGAATTAGTTCAAAATGCACATATTTTAAATAAGGGTATTTTTGTCATTCAACATTTAAATATACACGAATTTTCTATTTGGTTTTGGATTTTTGGTCATACAAAGGTATAAAAACTAGTTAGGTCATAGATTGAGAAACTCATTGAGTTTTAGTCATATCCTAGTAAATTTCCCTTTGAAATATACATGATAATTACGCCAAAATGTTCCCAAAACATAACTATTTTTTGCCAAAATTATACCCAATGCTGCCAATACGTGACCCTTTCCAATAAAAGGTAAAACTCCCATAATTATGCCACAATAGTGAACAAATAGAATCACACAAACCTGAATTTAAGGAGTGTTTTCCAAAACTTAAAAAAAGTGCTTTATAGCTTTTTGCTTAAAAAAAGCAGAAAAGGGTGTTTTCAAACATCTGCTTCTACTTAAAATAATCAGTTTAAAGTCAAAAGCTAAAAGCTACTATATTGGTGCTTCTATCTGCTTCTGAGTGTTTTCGTAAATAACACAAACTTTAAGGTTACTCATTAGGACATATTTTATCAGCAAAAGTCCAAAGTAACCTTATCTCTTTCCTATTCCCTGTACTGCAAATACCTCCCGTCATTCACGACCTCTCTTCCCCTGCAAGCTGCTCAAGCACATATATGCACCTCGCTTTCACTGCGCCGCAATAGATGATCGCTAGCTTAATCTTATGAGATATTACCCAAAATGGGACTAAAAAAGTTTGGAAATTCCAAAATAGGACTTACATGTTTTATTCCCAAAATAGGACTAATTACTGTCATGTTTTGGCAGTACCAGACTTCAAACATGACAGTATTTTCCAAATTTGGCAGTAATTAGTCCTATTTTGGGAATAAAAACATGACAGTCCTATTTTGGAATTTTCAAACTTTTTTATTCCCATTTCGGGAACTTTCCCTAATCTTATATGGGCAGATAATTGCTAACATACTTCCCAATTTTCTATTTGCAGAGATATTCCGATTTATTTTTTAATTTGATTTTCTGCTTTCCATTTAATAAGTATGAGGCACCGCAAAATTGAGGACAATGAATTAACAAAGTGAGCATTTTGAACTGGAAAAGTAAAGAAATTGAATTGAAGGAGTGCGGATGGGGCAAGGGAGAAGACGATAGAACTTTTGGAGCTCCCTTTCTCATGTCGGCATCACCGATCGCATAGTTGCCATTATTTAATCAATATAAGGGCTTTTATGTACTTAAATATAATATTCCATTAACAATCATTTTTTTATCAAACACTCCAACTTTAACTTTTCCACTTTAATCATTTCTATTTCCAAACACTACCTACTTTAACTACAAATCATTTTTCCAAAAATCTATTAAATAAATCACTTTTGAAAAGCACAAGCAAACGCAAACACTCCCTTAAACATCCTAGGTCTTTGATGATCCTTTCAATGCAAATCCATACTCACAATTCAGAAAAGCAAATTTAGCAATGGCTGAGGCGGAGGCAACGAGTGAAACTGGAATCCCTGTTTGGGAGGACGGTGTTGACGAGATAACCGTGTTGTACAGAATTTCTAAGGATGATGTGCGGTTGAAGACAGACGAGTGCTGGCCTGCATTTGATAGGACTTTCCCAAAAAGAATAGCTAAAGTTTATAACAACCCTCATCCGAGATTTTTTTCGCCCCAATTTCCCCGACTCAAGAACATTTACGAGATCGACACCGAGAAGCTTTCTGGTTATCCGTATTGCCGGATCCCAGTGTTTTTTTTCTAATCAATCAAATAAGCTAAGTAGCGTCTTTTTTTGCAGATGAATTTGGTGAGCCTACGGAGAAAACATGGCACTTTATCACTTTACACTCAAATGGTTTCTTCAAGTTACCAACTTTGAAACTTGTTGGAGGCATTGGATACTGGAAGGTCCTAAGAGAAACTGATGGGCTGAAGTATTTCCGATACTACCGGGGGGGATATCCGGACGGCGTAGAGACTGATTGGTTGATGGATATGGAGAAACTTCCTGCACCTCCGGTACATTTCATTGCCTCCCATCTGCTACTACTGTTTATAACATTGTGCATTTGAAATCGAATAAATTAACATTTTGTTCTTGAGAAAGTGATAGAATCCATTTATTATAGATCTTAATAGTTGGTGGTGCCAGTAAAGAGAAGAGATTTTTCAAATGCAGAAGTTTTAACTATTAGGTAAAGACGCACTTTTGGTCCATTAGCTTTGTAAAACGTAATAGAAAAGTGAAGAAAGTGGTATTTTCATCTCCTCAAAGGCTTAAACATTTTCTATTGACTGCGAACAATACAACAAACAGCAATGAAACTTTGAAACCACTCATTGAAATTAAGCTTGAGTTTATCCTTTCTAGTTTATTTGTTTATATGCCTCCACTCACAAGGTTTCTTTATCTTTCTCCTTTTTCTCATAGCGGATTGATACTTATGTCAAGTGTACGATACGAGTGTTGGGATCCCAAATCTTAACTTCACGAAGTGGGAAAGTCCCAGTTTTTTCCCAACAGCGAGAAGGCTGTTCTGGCTGTAACTGCAAATTTTGTACTTCCTTCAAACAGAGTTCTTGAAGGAGGAGTTCACATTTTTCAATATGTAAGTTTGTGAATTGTTTGGTGATAATACGATATAATGCACTCTTGCTTTTTTCTGGGGATGTTCATGCTTAAGTATATATGTATCGTAAGTTATAACATCTTTGTACCTACATGTTTAAGCCCCGCCCCCTATAACCTGTCAATTCTGGCTCCACCACTGCCTACCTGCTATATGCATGCATATTTATTTTGGGGGAGGGGCGCCTTTGACAACCTCCACCAATCCCACCATAGTTCTGGTAAGCTTATTGCATTCCATGAGTAGCAATGAATAAATTCCATAAAATCCATAAGGCATTACTCGATGAAATTACTCCCCGCTCTTTAACAGATCCCACATACTGCAATATATGAGGAAAACTATTCATAAATATTGACCTTTGGCTTATCTATCCTTCCTGATTTGCTTTTTTTATTCACTCAACTCATAGGGTGTATCATATTTCCACTTTGTTCTCATAAACTGGGATGGATTTAGGGGGGTGGCTGCCCCCTTGGACTTTCAAAATTTTCTACTATATACTCACTACTAGAAAAATGCCTTACAGTGACACCAAATTAGTGTCACTAAAAGCTTCTGTGACACTAAAAGAGTGTCGCTGAAAGTGGAGAATAGTGACACTAAAAAAGTGTCACTAAAAGTGTCACTAAAAGTGTCACTAAATTATGACACTAAAGTATCACCAAATTATGACACTACGGTATCACAAAATTCTATGACACTACAGTATCACAAAACTCAATGACACTATAATATCACAAAACTCAATGACACTACAGTATCACAAAACTCTATGACACACTAGTACTATGATACATTGATTACAATATATACATACATACATACATACACACATATATATAATTTAATACTAGCTAATAAATAACTAAATTTCAAACATTTTTATTTATATCTCAAATTCTCACATAAATGTGAATGTACATACTACATAAGGGGCACACCCCACAACAAAAACTAATAGACAAGAACAAAATGCTACCTAAACTAAAAGCACATGTGCCAAAACACAAAAAGACTAAAACATCAACTATGGAGAATACACTAGATGAAGAAGCCTTCCTAGTCAAAGCACCATATGTTGATCAGGAATACCCGCAGGAGAATGATTCACAAAATATAAACATCCATAGGCTCATCGGGAATCACTTTCGGTATATCCTCACATATCTCCTAGCTCGGGAGCAAATTTTGACTCACAAGCAGTTTTTTTCAAAAACAAAATCCTTCAGGACATCTGTGTATGACCTCCTGCAGAGGATGAATGTGAACTAAATTAGAACATAGGAAAACTTAGAATCGGAAAAATGTATATAAAACAGGACAGAACACAAGATAACGTTGGTTCACCCATGAAGAAATAGACGCAACAATGCATTGTAGTCGGAAGAAAAATATTATTTTTATAGATTAGCCACCCACCAGCCTTGTTCGATATGGAACAACACAATTCATGCATTCAGTTGATCTGTAACGTTTCTAAAGGCCTTTACATAGATAACTACATCACACCTCAGGAATTAACTGTACCGCGTATGAAATGTTTCCAACTAGAAATAAAAACCCATAAAATCACATTAGAGGTACTAAAACCGAATCAGAAGTTTATATTGGACTGCCCAAATGAGCATCCATAACTCTTCTGATGATACACTGTTTGTAAGAACTCTTCCGAACTGCTTCTCACCCAAATCTCTTATTTTGGTACCTCACACAAAAGAATACACTAAACACCTTAAGATACTCCACTGGGTAAAAGTCTGTCAATTTGGTTGGTTATTAAATAAATAGTGCTGAAACATATGCTAAATACAGGTGCATTTTTTACACAATGGCATCAATATGTGGATGAGACATAGTAGTGGCAATGATGAAAAAACGAGTCCAATAAACCAAGGCCTCTAAATAGATATGTTTAGAAGCAACCATAGCCTTTTGCCTCAAAATATCATTAGAGGCAACCATGTTATATTGTCTCATAATGTAATTAGAGAAAATCAATTCAAACGACTCAAAATGACAATCAATTGGAAACTTGTTGTATGTTGATAGATTGAACTAAACAATATTGTATATATGTAGTAGCAATTATATTATTTTGGTCGTGATATACAGTTAGTTACTCTATAAAGTTTCATACATGATATCACCATTAAACAAATGACCAAGAGATACAGTTTCTTTAAATACAGACTGAAGAATAAAAATCAAATTAAAACTTAAATAATCACATAACACCTTGTAATGTTCACGATTTAGCTCCAACCTAGGCATATACAGTAGATTACATCTCCAATAGATTTGTAATGTTGCACAATTTAGCTCCAACCTAGGCATATACGTACAATAGATTACATCTACAGAGAAAATATACGGAGTATCACATAACACCTTATTCTTCAATAAAAGCACGATAAAACATAAAGCACGATAAAATATAAAGCAATTCAAATGCTTACCAAAAGTAACATAAAAGCCTCGTCAATTCGTTAGTGATTACTCTGCAGCACAAGCTAGACAATACTAAAGAAATTAAAGTTTCTACCTTTCCAAGAGGTCCACTACAAGCTTTTCTGGACTGGCTTCAGGATCTGCAAGAAGAGCATTTCCGTTCCTTCTTCCAGAACCACTATTTAAGAATGGGAGTGCCTCAGGATTTCTTATCTTTGATCCCTCAGGTGAACTCTTGTACGAAGCAGATTGAAAAGCTTCTAATACTTCTACGGCCTTACTAAATTATCTACTTAGAATCAAACCCCTCTTAATATATGCCATAAAAAGAAGAATACGAAAATATTTAACCTAGAAAATATACCACAAGGAAGGCGAGGTAGTTGGCGCAGTGGCGCCTGAAGCTAAAGTGGCGGCGGGATCGGAGACGTACGGCATCGTGGCAAGGGGCTCGAGATCTTCAAACTTCGAGAGGAGAGGACTTCAATCGACGTAGTCGGGTGACGGAGACGCAGCAAAAGAAGAAAATTGCAGACAAGATCAACAGGTTAGGCATTCGATTCGCTGGGCTTGAGAGTCGACCGAAGGTACATGGTATCAGATTACCTAGCGAGGATATGGAGTCTAGCGGCAGGGCCAAGAAAAGCGGATGATCGATAGAGGAGTTAGGGTTCATAGAAGAAGAAGAAGGAAAGCTGAGCGGATGTGTGTTAAGTTTGAAACGGGAGAGGAAAAAAATGCCAAAGTGTATTACTCCGTATAATAAACTCTAGTAGGTCGGCCCAATAGTGAGGCGGGCCTTTAAATATACTCCGTAAAAAAATGAAAGTGTCACTATATGATGCTCATGTATTTTTAATAGAAAAGAGTGACACTTTTATGTCATTGATGTCATTTTATCAGAAAGTGTCACTATATAAGTGTCACTGTAAGCCATTTTTCTGCTAGTGACTCCGTATGTAATATTTTCATAAAATTTTCACACTTTAATTAGATTCGCCCCCATTAACTTTTAGTTTTCGAAATTAATAATAGCCTTGCATAATGTAATAATTAATTAGAGATTTAAAACAAGAAATATCTAAAATATTTTACATAACTTAAATAAATAAACAATAGAACAACTCATTTTTAAGGCTTAGGATACTTATTATATAAAAATTCTTAATTTTTTCATGTTCAATTATCTCTATTAGATAATTAGTATTGGATTTTGTAAAATATATACTACCTCTGTCCCATTTTATGTGTCACGTTTGGTTTTGACACAATTTTTAATAAAATGGTTGAAAAGGTAATTGTTGTGGTTGAGATTTGAGTATAGTAAAGTGAAATGTTGTGAACCACATATTTCTTTCCAAAAAGGGAATGTTGACACTTATTTTGGGACAATCCAAAAAGGAAAGTAGGACAGGTAAAATGGGACGGAGGAAGTATCAAACAATATTAAATACTCCGTACAAAACACACTAGTTACTAAGTTTTTGGATCATGTAACTGAATCCGAAATATATATGTTTATTGACATTAAATTGCACAATTTTTTGTATAGATAATAAACTTCAACATATTTTAGAATTAGCAAAAATATAACAATCATCATTTATATCAATCATCATTTACCCCAGTGCCGCAAAAGCTCCCACCTACGGTGGGGTAAGGGGGGTCAGATGTACACAGTCTTACCCCTGTACTAAAGCACAGAGAGACTGTTTCCGGATGACCCATAGTGAAAATCGCGTCCAAAAATTGCATGGACTGACTGCTGCTTCATAACAAAGAAGCGCAGACAGTTTGGTGAGCCATTTTGCTTTATTCCATCATATTCTCAAGCCAAAAAATAATGATTTTTTGGCTCCATTGCAAATGATGCAAAAATTATAATCTCATACATACTATTGTAATATTAAGTAAACTCCCCGTGACACATGAACACCTACCTTGGTAGACAAAATTGTAATTAAAAATTTTCTTATGATAAGATTCATGTGGTTAAACAATTCAGAAGTTATTTAAAAGGTATTGATGTTTACCTTTTAAGCTCTTTATCTTCAAATAATTGGATAAAATGTTATATATCCTTTTTTATTTTCAAATAATTTTTCTTTGATTTTTCCATTTCTTACGCTTCAATGTATCAATACTTTGTTCTATTGCACTTCAATTATTAAATCAAAGTTATTTTTCCATTGTCTAAACTTAGAATGTAATAGATTTAAATGTCATCGTGTATGTATTAACGAAAGTGAATAAAAATAGTCGTAGAGCCCTACACTAGTGAAAAAAATTCACCCCACTGCACTAGCAAAAAAATTCGCCCCTCTTCGCTAGCGAAAAAAATCGCCCGCTAGACCAGTGAAAAAAATTCCACCCCCTATGCTGACAAATTTTTTTCGCCCCCTTGACTCGAAATTCCAGATCCGTCCCTGCTCATAAAATTAATACTTGCATCAAATGTGAGATCTACCAGCGAGAAGGGTGCATTCTTTGTAACGCTTGTTGTTTCTCCAAACTGAGTTCTTGAAGCAATGCTGCGCTTGTGAGCTTTTGGTTCTCTAAATATGTAAAAACTTTAAGGATCCATTGGTTAAAATAATCTTTTTATGTGTATCTAGTGTCTAACATTGATAATCTTTTCACATTGTTACAATCCTT